AGAGAAAATATCTAGTTAATTTCCGTTCCCTTTTCATTTTCAAGCATGATTTTCCAATTTAAACTTTCTTTATTAATAAAATTGAAATGTAACTTTTTGGCATCGTCAAACATGTGATGGTTTCTGTCCAATATGTAATCATCTTATATAAATTTTATTTATATTCCACAGAAAGTTGACCCGCCTTCGCCATCAATATTGCGTGCACTAAAATCTGATGCCTTCTTCTTGATTGCCATCTAAAGCCATATTTTTATCATTTCATTTACAATTGTCAGAGATCTTGATGAAAAAGTGAGAGATGCTCTTCATGGTTACATAGAAGACCAAGTGGTCAATTAGGGTCTCTTTCTATCTTTACGAGCTTGGCTTGATGTAAAAGATCAGAGGAATCTCTTCTATTGGTTTAAGACAGTTCGAAAATTTGTTAATGAGAGCCGCAGGGAGCTTCACATGCTTAGTGGATTTCAATCTCAATGAGAGTCTTCTTCAATGTACTCATTCCGGTCTATATAAAAGGAAATTAGGTACTTGTATAACTAATATATCTTTCTATGACAGTTTTTTGAGCCGTTTATTTTTCTTGTTCATTTAGTTTGATCTATTGCACTCTTGCACTTCTATTTGAGGCATTTTACCCTCGTATAATTTTCAATTACTGGATTTCAGTTTCGCATTGTGTTGGGTGAATGATTGTTCTTGGAACAGTTTCTTATCACCTTTCATTTGCTTGGAGTGTTACTAAATAGTTTGTGGTGAGATATCGACGATTTGTATTCTTCTTTCTTCTTGGCCACTTTCAACATTGGATTCTCTCCTTTGTTGTGGGTGAAAAGAGTGAGTTAGGTTGAAGGTTGACCTATTTAAATGTCGATCTCTTGAAAATAGCATAAAAGGAATGATCCCTAAATGTTACTCTTAAACAATTCCATAGCTGGTCAAAATGTGTCGAGCAGCACCATGTCGGGCCAAGACTGGTCCACCTGAAAACTCTCTAGCATGGTCCATTTTGCCAATGATTATCAAAATGAATGTCATTTGAGGAATAGTAATGTCCTTAGAATCTAAATTGATTTTTGCAAAATCATGAAAGGCATATAAAGTCTTGTTCTCGATAAATTTGAAGCGGATTATCAATTTATTGATTAATTTTACCGAAGATTCAAATAATGCACCAAATGTTAAGCTTAAACAACAAATAAAAACTTTGCATTATTGTTTCTGAATAGAAGATGACTAAAACCAAGTTCTGCTTCTCTGCAGAATAAACCAGAAGAATCTCCTCGGCCTCAAAAACGAAGGAAAACTAGCTCCTCGTCCTGTATCAATGAGGGACGTCGTCTAATCCCACATCCTCTATAATCGAAGAACAATAATCGGACAAGCAGTGAATTAATACTCAACAACAAAATGTACATATGATCAATCCATTCTCATTGCATTCTGAGCAATTCATTGCCTCACCATCCCCTTCAGGGAAAATTTTTCGACTTCCATTGCAGTTAAAACACACTAAAAACCTTATTCCAGCACAAACTTCACAGGTTCCTTCAGATTTAGCAATAGGAATTCCTTCAAGAAGTGGCTTTAACCTTCCTTGTTCATGCAATCCCAAAACCTCTGCAGCTCCTCCAATGTACCTTCCCTTAATGAAGAGCCTTGGAGGCACTAATTTTTCACCCGAAATCTTCCATAACTCGTCCCTATACTCTGAATGCATCGACATATCCCTCTCGTAAAACATAACCATCAAGTTTTCCAATAGAGACCGGATTCTGTGACAGTTGTTGAATGTCTTTCGTATCCCTCTAAGGCCTGTAGTATAGAGAATAACTGTGTCGCTACCTCCTGGTGGACACTTGTCTTCAAATTCTAGTAGAGGATCAGCGGTTTCCTCGATTTTTCTTGATTTTAAAGGGGGGCCTTCGTCGATTTCTTGCCAATTTATTTCCTCGTTTCGAACCCTTCTCTCTGCCTCCTCTTGGGCTTTAACTTCCATTACTGCCTGCTCAAACGCTGCAAGAAGATTTGGGTCAAAAAGGGATCCTGAGTCCAAATCTGGCCGCCTGAAAGATGGCACATCAATCTCAGGTAAAGGGACATGGTTTTCATCATCTTTTAGACATTCTGTAGATTCCAAAACCTCATTCTTCGACTCAGATAAGATAGAAATCTCTTCATTTTCTTCGAAATCATCCTTGATTTTCGACTTTTTTCCTGGATAAACGTTCTCTTTATCATTGATGTCGTCATCAAACTCCAATTCTTGGTCTTCAAGATCCCTCATAAGCTCTGTGACATCAATGATATCTTGTTCTTGCTTCAATCCATCATTCTCCTCAACATTATCGAGATTTTCTTGGATGGAAACCAGCGATTTAGGGGCTACGGAATTCGATTTAGGTGGTGAAGTGCATACATAGCTTTCAAATGAATTTACCTGAAGAATTCTTTCTGGTTTCAAATACCCAATTGTTTTGATTGGCTTCAATTTCTTCAGTAGCCTTACTTTCACTCCCTTCATCTTCAAAATCTGGTTCAGGAATTCAAGATTTTACAACTATATTAAAAGGGATTTGGAGGAGAGTAAAATAGATTTTTAAATGTCAGAAGAAATTAGGAAAGACAAGCTTTTTCTACTTCAATCCGACAGCCAACCGTTGCAGATGAGAGAGATAATAATGTCAATAGATAACGGCTAGAATATTTTGAAAACATGGTGGGAGAAGGTGCATTGTAGCTGGCGTGGACCAAAGAAATATCGGGGAAATGAGTTGGGAAGGCGGCCTTTCAATTGGTTTTTGTTCAAAAGGCCTTTGACCATATTTTTGAAAATAATCTGAAGTATAAATATTTAATAAGACTACTACACCCCTCCAATTGATCCCCAAATTAAAGAAGGAACGACGTAGTTCCTTCTCTTTCCTTCTGAACAGTCTCAAACATTCATTTTTCCTTTCACATTCGAATCATCTCTTCTCCACTGTGCAGCATCTCTCTTCTCCACTATCACTTCCGTATGCAAGAGAAATCGTCGTTTGAAGGAGTATCAGAAACTCAAACATTATCTGGCAGACCAATTTTTGAGGGAGCATTCTTCAAATTTCAAGTACATATCCTCAGACATTATACCAAGTACTGTTTAGCTGGGTTTCTGAGTTGTCTTAGCAATTTTTATAGCTTTGTCATGATCATTATTGTGTGCTTGGATTGACCTAATTTTATTTTCTGAATTTGGTATTTATGTGTTTTAATTCGAGGAAAAGGGGAAATGACATAGCTCATTGATAGATTTAATGTCAATTTCTTTTATATTAGTACACATGATTTAGACTATTAATATATGAATAATTTTGTTGCAAAATCAAGTGAGACCTAATTTATAGAGCGTGCACCTGATTCATGTCAATCATATACTGGAGTAAGTGGACTTGGCTTGCATTTTAAAATGCCATTTCTAAATCATTGTAAACTGTTGTCTCTGGTAGAAATTTCATCTATGGGTAACTATTTGGAACGATTAAATTTAGAGATATTAAGCTCGTTAGGATTCTATGGCTAGATGCGCTAAGTGTTGAGGTGGGTGTAAGAGAGAATAAATTATTAGAGAATCTTATTACCATAAACATGTATCTGGTTCTGCCCCCAAGTCCTTATCCTTTTGCTTAAGCCATTGATGAGCTGAAGACACATATACAAGATGAGATTTGTTGATTTCATTTACTCTTGTTTTGTAGTTTTAGCGATGATAGAACGAACTAGAGGCGAAAAAAAAAGCCAAACGTGTTTTTGTCACATACTTATCTTTCCCTTTTGGCTATGGAGCTTACTGTGCTAGTGTGTTGTATGTGATTTATATTTAATCTTTCGCCAGGAAGTTGGCTCACATTTTTGTCACATACCTAAATGAATCTTTGACCTTCCAAATTGAACATTGGGAAGTTGGCTTACATTTTTATTTTTCTGCAATGTAAATCTGTTCAATTTGTTTAGAAGGTGATGTAAACCTCAACAAGATTTATATGGAATTTCTCCATTCTGTTTTTGAATTGTATCATATTTGTACATGTTTTATTATTTGCAGTGCTATGGAGAACATTCAGATTGACGCTACGATCACAAGAAGATGTAGACTCCAAATAGTACAGGATATCTATGAGCAACTGCATACAAATCACAAAAGCAAGCTTCAGGAGAGCTGCTTTGGATCTCTGCTTATACATAGGGATATAAGAAAGAGCGAAAAGTATAAGCTGGGATTGATCGTAATATTGGCGTATGTCCTGTGGGCCGCGGAGGAAAATACCTACATCGATTTATGGTGGATGATTTCCACAAGTTTGAGAAGTATCCATGGGGGAAGATTTCATCTGAATACACGATGAATGTATTCAGACTTGAGATAGGAAGTAAATTAAAAAGTTCCGACGTCGGAGAGGAGTCACGTTGTCAATATTCTTTGCACGGCTTTTCCCTTGCTATAATGGTAGAACAAACAATATACTTGACTTGTAATATTTTGCATATATAAAATTGTGCCATGAGATAGTAATGCATGTTTTATAATAGATTTGGGCATTCGAAGCGATTCCAATTTTGGGAATGAAGTTTGCTTCAAAATATTCAAATGTAACTCCGAGAATGGTTGCTTGGGAAATGCCGAAGAGGTTAGCATCTGCCGTCATTGATATTGTGCTGAAATCGAAAGAGGTAAATTTATGTTTTTTAAAGTTAAATGGGGACAATTGTGGAATTAGATTAGTGGATGATTAATGATTTGCAGACTTAATATTTGCAATTGGAGGTTAATTCCACATTGATTCCCATTGAAGCCGAACTTGAAAAGGTCTATTGGAAAGAGTTAACACCGATTGTGGAAGAAGATGAGAGTGCTTCACACCATTCCAAAAGATATGAGGCTGAGCATGATGCTAAGCCACATCATGCATACCACGAAGAGTCTCCTAGAGCAGGTCAACCACCGTAGCGTGGTTTTGAGATCAACAATAGCGGACTTATTGAGAACGGAAAAGGAAAAACTTGAGAGAAGGCTACAAGTAGTCATATTGACTCGACTTAATTGGGTGGAGAAAAAGGTTGACGGGTTAGTTGAATTGACTGTGGCAGGTCGGTTCCATCCAGCGACTAGTGCATTTGATGGTGCCACTAGTAGCACAGCTTATGTA